AAAAAAACCAATAACTGTGCCAAATTCTATCCAATCAACATGAATACAAAACACTTTGTATATTGATTTTTGACTATCCTTACATGACACTAAATTAAACAAAACAACAACAACAACAACCAACCAACAATCACCAAACAACAACAACAACAACAAACAACAAAAGATCGCGCATCAAGCCAACAAGGTATTAAATATAAAACCAAAAAATTGAAATTCTTTAATTACATAAGATTTACAATTATGATTTTGACGCTTTGTATATATTATCCAGAATTAATCCAATTAATTTATTAATTTCTTATCATTAATTTAATGTTTTTTTTTGGTGCGAGATTATGAATTTAATTGTAGTTGACTTTTGGCTTTTCTTGGCCATTAGTTCAGTAGTTGGTAGCTAATCGGGAGGCGTTCGCCACCCGGGATTTACTTTGCTGGACCGTTCTGATTTTCTGTAGCCTCTGATCGCGATTTTTGATCGTTATTTGAGCATGATGCGGAGGGCTAGACGCAGCGCTGTCTCCAACCGTTTGCTAGTTCCTTCTTACACCCATAACTACCATAACTACATCCATTTTATTTTTTATAATTTAATTGGTATTGCTTTCTTGACGATTTATGATTTGCAACAAATTGGTTTATCCAGACATAGCTATATTTATATTTTTTTCTGAGAGCGTTCCTAGGAAAACACGGTTGAACCCGTACTCGTAACCCGTACCGTAGAGCTACACACCAACTTACTGTGACCCACAATAACTAACAATTGGCGTTTAAAACCCACAGACTAACCACTCTACTGTTAAAAGTAACAAAGTAAATAAGTACACCTGCCTACATCCTCCATCTGTGTCAGAAACACCCACATAACAGACACATAACCATCCCACACCACATGGCATGAATATTTGTATGCTTCTAGCTTTGCATGTTGTTCCTTAGTGGTTTCCAAGGTAGCTACCATTTGGGTTAGACTCTACTGGTTGTCACTTAAGAGAGTTCATTTCAAATTTAGACAAAGTTCGGTGCTCGCTGCAAAGCCTGGAATCTGGCGCCCTACAATCCCGAGGCTCCACCATGCATCCGCTTGCGCTTGGAGGAGACCATCGACATGCCTAAGGATATTGAAGGCATTATTGATCGCAAACGTATTCAGAGGTAATGACTTTTCTATTCTTTTATTAATTAAATTTTAATTAAATTGTTATTAATTGTTCTAGTTGGATCACTCACCATGCCGAAATTCGAGTTAAAGACATCAATATGGATCTGTCAATGAGCACCGTAATCGGTTTGGGGGATTTGGCCGAGGATGAGGTCATCTCTCCGCCCATGCCAGTGACCGTATGTGCTTTCAGTTCTTTTATTTGTTTTATTATTAATTCTTTTATATACTTAATAGGTAAATGTGGAAAATGTTCGCATTAATTTGCTGGAAGACCGTCCGCCAGTTAATATTACCTCACCAGGACCCGTACCCATTAATCTGTGTATCGGTCGCATGCGTTTGGAGCGTGATAAGAGTGGAGTGCTTAACATTCAACCCATAGGTTAGATATTATATCCTTATATCTCTAACAAAGCTCTAAAAAGTAGTATTTCCTTCAGACACAAACATGAGTGCTGCACAGCATCAGGCTCTGGGCAGTGCCTTGTTCGGGGCTCCTAGGGAGCGCGATCGAGAGCTACTCTCCATGCAGCTGGTCATGCAGCAGATGAAGCTGGACAATGATCAATTGCGCCGGCAACTCGTCGACTCTAAAGTCAACACAGACAACTATAGGTGAGGAATTATCTTAATTTTCAACTTAAATCATATCTAAGACTCCCACAACCCTTGGCAGACAAAAAACCAAACAGGAAACAGATGTACTGCGCTCCTATTTGAAGGCCGCCCAAGATGACATCAGTATTTTGCTGGAGGAGAAGAAAGCTTTATTGGACACCATACGTTCTTTGCAGGTAATTCAAGGGGATGATATAACCTTGTTTATTATGAATTTTCTCACCGTTCTCACTATCTCTAACTCTGTTGGACCTTACATATTGTTTACCTTGACACTCTCTTGTTGTTGTGCGTAAAGTTGAAACACGTTATGCTTAAGAATACCACAAATAATAATGCAAGGACTAAAGGTCAGTTACCGCCTAGCACGCTTGCGCCTTGCCTGCATGACCTTCCAAACTTTTCACACGCCTTCTTTGCAGTTCTATTTCTTATAGTTATCTAGAAATATATAACTAAATACTTATATTCTTTATAGGTACAACTGACCTCATCGAATATGAACCGAAAAAGTGATGGCAACAGGTAGCACAACTGCATGGACTGCATACAGTGCTGTGGCGAAAACAACAACGCCTAACCTAGAGCTTGAGCCATCATCCTAGCCAGTTAGCCAGTCAGCCAGTATGCCGATAGTCAGACGAGTACCCTCTATATATGCCCATGACGTCCTCAAACATCATCGCCATTCGATTTTGAGTTTAGCAGAAGACTGAGCCGTACCGAACACGGACACTTTCCACGTTGCCGTTCTTCATACTTATACTTATACAAGAGCCTATACGTATATACGAAAAGATCTACATATATCTATCTATAGCTATATCTATATCTATACGGATATTGTTTTTATCGGTTTTAAGCTGCCACAAGCTTTTGCTATTGTTCCAAAGAAATCATTTATTATATTGTTTTGTAGATTTTGGACAAGTTTTTATGTTGATATATATATTGCTTAGCCTTTTTAAAAGCAGACTTTTTAACTAACCACCATTGTTAATTAATTTCTAAAATGATAATCAAATTGAAAAACGAAAACTGAAAATCGAAAATCGAAAATGTATAAGCGGATAGCTTCTAACTATGTACAGTCGTACCGCCTACTCACCATATTGTATATTATTGCTAATTCCATCGATATTGGATAGAACATATTGTTGTGATTCATGATCATATCAAAACTGAATTCTAGTAACATTCTAGTATGCATTGTTGTTGTAATCGTGTGCTAGCAATTAATTGGCCAAATTTATCATATAACATTATAGTATTCTCTCTCGGATCGAAGAGCTCTTAAAATTTTATTCCATTCCATTCGATTCAATCATCCTTTGCCGAAAAAAAATATTAATCAAACCAAATACGCAATACAAGACATTATAATCAAAAAAGTGTTAAAGCCATCCATAATCCTATATCCTATATATATCCTATTAATCCAATGTACCATGTTGAAATGAATCAAAATAACTCAAGTCGGTATACAAATTTTTAAATAAAAATATATTTCATATTTCAAAAATTGTAAATGAGGAAATGTTTGTAATTGTATTATAAAGTTTAATATTAAACTAAAACGATTATTGATTGTTATAAATATATTATACGAAAGTTTTCATCTGTAGCTAGGCGAAATAAAACTGAAAGAAATTGAAGTCATATTTAATATTACAAATATATTCAATTGTATATGTTAAACTAAAGTGTGTTTTAATTGGGTTAAGGTTAGTGGTAATATTTTAGTATCTCCATAAGTAAAACAATCTATATTTTTTTATTAGAGTTTATTTTTATTGAAACTTTTACGATCATAGCCAACTGCTGTTGCTGTTGTTGTCTCCTTCATAGAATTAAATACGATTTAGAGCGTTTCATTTCTTCTCAATCCTCTATTCATAGCAAACTTACTGCACATAATTGTAATTTTTTCGAATTTTTTGTTTGGTTTTTAAGGTTTTTTTTTCTTGCGATTACATATGACTGTAAAGTTGCACACTAAATTAAAGAAAAACCCTCGAAAAGTTGCACTTAAAAATTTCTTCGTTCTTTCTTCAGGCGATGTCTTAGTTATTTTGTTTTTTTTTCCCACTTACATTTTGTATACATATACATTATATTTCAAAGTGTATTAATTTGCAAAAATATCTATCGGTATATAGTCTGGTTTAGAAGAACGCCTAGAGTACATACATTAATGGGGATAAACTGTACCCGCGGTACACATGCACGAACATGTTCGCAATTCAAACGTAAAGTTTGTTCAACAATTAAGCAACAAAGAGTTACATTTATACCATAATAGTAATGAACATTTTAAGCTAAAAATTTAAGATGATGCGTGTATGCGTGCCTCAAATAAATTTCCATTTAAATATTTGATTTAATTTTCGTGTAAAAATGCTTACAACTTAATTGTACAATATGAAACAAGGCCATTTATTTTTTGAAACAAAGCTGTAAAGCTGTTTGAAATTCTTTGTTACTTTTATGATTTACGCGATATATGATTTTGATGATTAATGTTTGGGGTCAGGCGCAACATATTGAACAAAAAAGGACAACTTAAAGCCTCTCACAGCAGAGTGTTATGATGATGTTTTGGTCCAACATTTTTGTAGGCCACCATATGGGTTACGAGATGAAGTTGCAGCTGTCGGACGAAAGTCTAATGTCTTATGGGGATCAGCTTAATTATATATTAGTGTATAAATATTTTTGTTTGTTTTCTCTTTTTGTTAAAAATGCTAGAAAACACAAAAATCATTAGTTGTGGATTTTTTTACTTCATTTTTTTTTTATTTCATTTTTTCTTGTTTGTTTTTCTTTTAAGAGTAATCTTAGTTCTTGTTCTTGTTGTTTTATACAAAAAAATCAACAAAATAGTAAAACTAAAACTAAAGCAAAGAATTAATTAAAAAAAGGTCACAATGAAAACTAAGAAAAAATTTTATAAATCGTTATGATGGTAGTTTGATTTAAAAATTGGAAATTACTGGAACTCAGAATTGAAAATTATTTAAATTGCATTGCTGCGTCTATGTATAATTTTTTGTTGTTATTTAATTTCCTTCACATTTCACTCTTTTATTTGCTTTGATGATTTTTTTTTTAATATATGTATGTTTGTTTCGTTCGTTTAAAAACTTAAAGACACTTGGACAATGTTTAAACTGCTACGAGCTGTGGTTTGATAAGTGGTTTCTTTTTTTTTTAGTTTTAATTAGATCTCATTAAATTTGATTTACAATTATCGGTTCATGTATTGTAGATTGCAATTATACAGTTAATATGTAAAGATTGCTGCTAGATTTGTTATTTATTTAATGCCTGGATGAATATTAAAACCATTCAAATAATGCTTAATAAATAAATAAACATGTTTTAATATTGTTGTTTCTGTAGCTAGTGCGGTTTTACTTGTCCTTCTCCGACTCGGCGGCCACGGGCTTATTCTTGCCAATGGGGATGGCCACTCGGATCCTGCAGAAAAACATAAATAATTATAATTATTGATATTTTTTAAATAATTATTAAAAACATACTTGTCGGTGATTTCTGTCAATTTGCTGCGCACCAAATCCAAGTAGGTGTCGATCGATTGCTTGTTGTTCTCGTAGACCTTGGGCAAGGTAAACAGCGAGACGAAGGCTGTTTAAATAGAAGAATTAATTAATATTTTAGTTAATTAAATTGTTAATTAAAAAACCTACCCAAGAGAACCAGAGTCATGCCATTGAACCAGGCGCCAATGTAGGTGAAGACCCACAGAATGACACCAAACTTGATCGAGTCGATGAGATCCTCAACCAGAAACAGGCGCCTCAGCTCAGCCACAAAGCCATTGATATGTGCCACAGCCACGCCGGCAATGTTCTGGACCTTCTCCTGCGACAGTGTAAGATCCAGATCCAAGTATTCCCTAATATTACAAGAAATATATTATAAATATATTTAAATAGAAATTTAATTTCTCAGAACACTCACTTGAAGGGATGTCCATCGTTTGTCTTTTGAACGGCCTGTGTCACCGATTTGTAGATTCTGAATGCCACCGTGCCGAACAAGGTGAGGAGCGACAAGTAGGCGAACACGCTGATCACCGAGAAGCTGGAAATGGCCAAAAGTGTGATCAGTCCGGCGCCGAAAACAATGCCGGATTTTTTCACATCGCGCCAGTAGATGAGGGATTCCACTGGAAATATTTAAAAATCATATATCCAATTAGCTAGAGTTCTATAAATTCATAAAAATTATAAAAAAAAAGACAAGATATTGTAGACTTTCTACCAAAAAGCACACGCATACATATGTATATGCATATATGTATGTATTTCTATCTTTTCTGGCAGCGGCAATTATGCAATCTATGAGATAAATAGATGAATCTGTGCTCTCGTATCTTGCAGATGTTTGTAGATTCAAGCACCTCGAGCCCATATGCTTAGGTGGTAATTATCGGGATGGCATTTGTTGAACAGCATGCAACTAAGCTTTTCATATTATTCTAAAATCCTATGCCCCTATGCCCCCATGCCCCCAAAAAACTCACACAATTCGTTCGACATTTTTTCTTGCGGTTCGTTCTACGCGACGTTTGACTTTCGTTGCCAAGTTCCTACACACTAGCGGCGAAATATTATTTTTTGGCGTCTGCTGGCCATGGCTAGAGCTAGAGGCTAGGAGGCTAGAGGAAAAGTTTAGATTTTCCGGACCCAGCCGGAAAACAAAAGAGAAATATACCGACTAAGAGAACCACTAATGGCCAAGAGAGTGTCTGAATGAGTGGATAAAAACGGAAATGGATTGAAACACGCCTCGAGAATCGATTGAAATGCCAGCAGTTGTCCAGCCCCAGGTAGGGAATGTATCTCTCGGATACATAGGCTGACGTAAACACCTCTCTATTATCCATGTTTGCTATATGTTTGCCATCATTATTCACTTTCATCGTGGCTAGGGGCTATGGGATTTAACGATAAGAAGTCATTGCCCGGCGCCGTTTCGAGTTAACCCAATTTAGATACTAGAACGGATAGAGATTCTATAAATAAATACACTTCAAGTGTTTAAATCTCGGGGAGAATCATTAAAAAAATAGCTACCGTTTATGGTATCATAATTTGTTAATTGATAAGAAATCTATACAACCCAATAATAATGGTTAAAGATAAGAGTCTCAATCTAAAAACTTTAAATAGCATCCTTGTGTATATAGAACACAGCTAAACAAATAGATACAAGATACTAGATACCCAGACTAGTCTAAAAAACTGGTTAGATACTTTTGGGGTTCGAGTTGCCAGGCCAGAGACACGATTTGACTGGGATTATGTAAATATAGTGGAAAATAAATTAGAAAGGAGACAATGGGTGATGAGATGGCAGTCGACAGAAGACCCTTAACTGGGTTAGAGTATCTGAGAAAGCTCTCTCGCCGGGAGAAAGTTCCCCCAGCCTATCAATTGAATCGAAGATCTTCGTTACAATTGCAACTGGTGGACCTAAAAACTGGTTTGTTTTTGCCTTGAAACTAGTTTTGGTCGAAAGTGAAGTGCAGCTTCTTCTTGCCACAAAAAAACAGCCACGACCAGTGTCGTAATTTTGCAAAAAAAAAACCATAAAAAAAGTGCATAGATAAGACCTCAGACTGGGAGCTGATAACCCACGTTGTCTACTACGCTAGTATATTATTAATTTATTTTGAAAATTGCCAATCCAAGCTGGAATTTTGATGATGAGCCGGATTTTGGTTACCAACTGCACTTCACAACGTGGCAAGAAAATTATTTTAAAAGATAATACATTAAAAATTATTAGCAACTAAAAGTAAATGTAAAAAAAAAAGGTGGACTAGACTGGATTATTGGTCAGGTTTCTTTGATTTTTTTTTTAGTTATATTGGCCACGTTGGCGCTGCTGACGCTGCTCTGCTGACGTTGGCAGCAATCACTGCCGCGCAGTCAATAAATATATATTTTTATTCCACGACCCCCGAAGATAAGACACCAAGAGGTTGTCGCTTGGCGCTGTCGCTGGGACTTAAACCAAAAGTGGACAACGTGGACCAGCCAGCCAGGTACATAGGTGGTGATAACGGAAACGGGAGATTACCTGGTCCGCGCTCGGGCAGGGGCTGGAAGTTGCCGTTGGAATTGTTGCGTGAATAGCGTTTGCTGCCGCCTGCCATTTTTTTAAGTTTTTTTTTTAACGGTAACTAGCTTGGCGCCAAAATGTATGCAAGGTGGAGTAGTGGGAGTTTGCGTGTCTAGGCTTAATTACAGCGCGGAAATTTAGTTAATACACAGGCGCACACAAAACACAAACACACGCTCAGGAGAGACGATTCAGCCGACCGTCCGACACGAGCTCTGGAAGAAGTTTGAGCAGAAATATAATTTGAGCTCCCCAATTGGGCTGCGTTGGGGCACTGCGGGAAAGAGATGGCGGGAGAGTGTCAGCAAACAAGTTTTCAGGAAGGAAAGAAGCAGTGGGAGAGCGTCAAGCAGTTCATAGTGGGGTCGATCGAAAACAATAGGACATTTTAAACAACTGGCTTAAAAAAATAAACTTAATTAGATAATCTTAAAAATTATCATTTAAAGTCTTTAAATAGTTTTAGTTAGTTTCGTATTTTTGATGTTAAATATTTAATTAAATTCACATTCAAATTCCACTGTGCTCTGAAAGTGGAAAAAGAGCAAAGCTGCTCCACCAAAGAGCTTGAGTGGGAGTGAGCTGAGAGAGAGAGAGAGAGTGCGTCGACGATCCACATTGAAAGTAAAAGATAACGCGCATTAACAACAACAACAACTATGTTTGGGTAGGGGGTGTGGGGTCTGGGGGGATTTATACAAATGTCAGCAAACGTGTCAACCTCAGCCACGAACTTGGATTCGCGATTCGCCGAAGACTCTCCAGCCGAAGACTGAAGATTGGACCGCAACGTAGCCGCTTAGCGTTGTGTGACGTATCGGGGGTGGGGTTGTTGGCGTATTGCGGACTGCGGTTAAATGTGAATCATGGCTTCGGAGCGTGACAAGCTATGAAAACTATAAAATGTAAATCAATAAATTAAGTTTACACTCCAAAACCATGGAAATAAACGATGGGAGATAAGGGCTGTGCTTGGAGTGGGTCAATGCACTGCTTAGCTACTGCAGTTTGAGAGCCATTGTGGACTGTGACACGTGAGTGGAATGCATTTTCACAGCCGGCTCAAGAACGCAATAGGCAAGAAAACTGCGTTTTGGTGAAATGTGAATGCGGGTATAGTGACATCATCCCCAATTCCCCAACCATCACTCGCGTCCAACCCCAATCGCTTTTTTTTTCTTATTTTGGCGCGTTTGAATGAGTAAGCTGTGCTTCAAATGATATCATATGTTGGGGAGACGGCTATAGAAATTCTCGGTTGTTTGGCTGACATAATTCCCAAATGCTCGCCAAATACACTCAACACTTGAATATGTTTATTTTGTGCACCTGACATTGTCAGAAAGCCTCCCAAATTGCATAAGCCACATACATATGTTAATAAACAATTAAAGGGAATACGTAACAAAAAAATAAACATATCCGAAAATAAATAAACATTTATTAAAAAAAAACCTTAAACAAGTCCCTAGAGAAAATTGTTACTAACGGGAATATGGGGACCTGATAAGGAAAAATATTTTATTTTAAAAAAGTCTTGATATCAAAGAAATTCTTTATAAAAATGTTATCTATAATTATATAAAAACTTAAAACAAAATTTCATATTATTCTTTAAAATAGCCTTTAAAAACGAAACATTTATACAAGATTTTCTAGTCTTGTGAACATTTCTTAAAAGTCACAAAAAAAAGAATATTTATAAATAAATTATAGCTGCAATTAGAAACAACGCACGAACCGAGAGTGTGATAAAGAGCGAGCGGAAGAGAGTGGCGCGAAAATAAAAGAAATTTCCCACCCAAGGGAAATTCTTTAGGCCATGTGGCCTGGCCCTCATATTTTCACAAATAATCCATCAATTCTTTGTTAATTTTTGTATCTTTTTTTTGTTACTTACACGACTCGCGGTTGAGAGGCAAATCTTTAAGTTCGCCCAGCGATTGCAGCAGACCCTTGAGTGCTTCCAGACCCTCAGCCATGTTTCTTGTTATTTAATTACAATTATAGACGGTATTATAAATCACAAAAGCTTTCCACCCTATACGACTGCAAGAGAAAGTCGAAAAGAATCGAGATTAAGCGAAAGTTCTGCGGTGCGGTTCACGGATCGAGGAAATGCGAATGCAGCGGCGGGCATTAACCGTTTTCGTAGAACTGACGGATACGAGAATCGTTTCGCGGTTCCCAGTCCCCAACCCAATCGGATCCGACCTAGACGAGCGATAGCTGTGTATACGTATGTGTACCTAGAAGTACCCTCATACATAGGAACTCTGTTGAAAGTTCCTCGCCCTCGGCTGGCAATCGGCGGAATCACTGGCGGAACTGATATGGAAAGTGGCTCCCGTCAACGGGGCTAGATAATAAGATAGGATTAATATTTTTTCATTCACTTTTAATTTATTTATTTTATGGCTATAACCGCAAAGCTTTACAGGTGTCACCGACTATAAAAGATAGTTTTAGTTCTCTAGACTTTACTTAGAAATTAGACATTGACTTTATTCTCTAGATATATGTAAATATAAACACTATGTATTCTTCGAAAGATCACTGTTTTCCTCATTTACATATATCGCCAGCGTTAGGGCACCTATCCAAGTTATATAATTAGAACTAGTATCCGTACACGAAAAATTCCGCAGATACCGGGATACCGGGTTTGGGGGGAGGGAACAAAAATTAAATGCCTCGACAATGGCAAAGTCGCAGATTTGTGTTTTCTGTCAGCTGCAAGTGCAGGTCACCCGAAGAGTTCAAACAGCTGACAACAATCTGTGGCATGCCACACACACACACGAACACACACTTGAAATCACACACGCACTCTGGGGCAAGAACCAAATTACCGATCTCGTTTTCGTTGTCGCGCTTCTCGATCGACTGACTCTCTGTGGCAATGTGGCGTTTACAAAGTCCGTACTCGAACTAAACTACAATTAATTTCAGATGCGCTCAGCTCGACGCAGGGCGAAGCGACACTCGGCCCGACGTACAACAACAACACACACGCAGGTACCCACTCATCGGACAGTTGCGGTCAACGCTATAGCAGCCACATACTTGACATAAACTGTTGGTTGAGTCACAGGATGACAATGCTGGGAATGTGATTTTGCTAGTTTAAGCATGATTGCCAAACTTTTAAATATTTTCGGGTTTTTGTTTTTAATACCATACTTTGTTGTAGTTCTATTATTAAAATTATAGGAATTTTAGGAGGAATATTAAACATCTTCATTATTTGAATAGAAACCCCTAAAAGAGGGGTTATAGATGGACCCCCCTCATATAATATGTATTCAGATAATTATTTTAAAAATTAATGAAGTATATTCTGAATTTATTTAAAATTACATCTGAAGCTTAGAACTAATTATTCAGATTATAAGTTTGATAACTAAGATCATTCCCAACTCTAGTGTATGTAAATATTTGGTAGCCAATATTGACTTAGACCTTTTGTACTATGACCATGAGCTTGAACTCTCGAATCGCGTTTTGTAATTATTGTTTATTTAAACACTTTCAGCTAATTAGTTTCTTTCTGTCAGCACTATTATTTTGACAACTGCTGTAGAGAAAAGGGAAAGGGACAGGAACGGGGTCCGAGGGCCTACCTCTGTTTATGGCGAATTGCAAATAACAGCATCAAGAAGAGAGAGAGTACCTGGGTAGGTGAGAGAGCCAGATACAGATGTCTGATCTCTGGAATAAAAGTGAGAAAAGGTGGGCACCGGTGCGCATGGCTGCGTGTTTTTATTATCAGGGAGCACGCATTTGTTAATGTAGTTGTCGCCTAAACACACACACACGCAGACAACTGCAATTTAGGTAGAAAACTGCGATTCCTTCGATCATGTCTCTGCAAGCCAAAAAACAGGTAAGAGGAAAGGTGAGAAGGCAACAAAGGATTGAAGATAAGGTGCTGTATCCTAAGCCGATAACCGATCAGGTACAGATAGGCCTAGTCAGGGATGCTGCTAGTATATAGTTTTGCCAACCAAGGTTCAATAAAGGGAATGATCACTGTACCAGAATCTAGAATTCGATTTCTAGTTCAACTGCTTGACCGCCCTGTGCAGCCTACGGCGTAATCTTTAAATGTTAAACCGCACGGTAGGCAACAAAAGAAACAACGCCGACAAATGGCTGAAATACTTAGCTAAAAGGCTAAAATTAGCAGGCAACTGCGAGAACGAGAGTCGTCTCTTTTGACGTTGACGCCGGCCGGGCAGACAGCATCCAACGGCCGGGAGAAGAACGAGGGGTGTACACTGTACACAGGTGGAGCACTGGACGGGCGGCGGAGAACGGCAATGAATGAGCGGTGAGATAGAAAAGGCAGCTTTTCATTTCTGAGAGCCATAAACAATGACACTTGGAGCTGCTATTTCACTCAAGTTTGCTCTCACACCGCAGATTCAAGGTTAACTGTATCTTGTCAGGTAAATAGCAAGCTTTAAAATATTCCCCCCAAACTGCTTGTTTGAAGCAGTGTGCACTGCTTGGAAGAAAGCGCTCGATTCAAATTTTGCATTTAAAAATGAATCTGATATTTCGCCGATAAGATCTGACGTCAGCTACTGATAAATTAGAAAGCTTTTTTTTGGCGTATGACTTGGGCGTTTGTTATCTTCGACTTCTTATTGCTTTGCAATGCAGACAAGTTATCTCGACCCGTGGAATTAAGTAATTTCTAACCGGCTTATCATTGTTATTTGTGGTTCGCTGCTTATGTATATAGCTTTTTGCACTTGAATGCAAATTATTCGCATATTCATAGTTTTTTTTGGCACAAAATTAGCGAAAGGAAAGAAAAAATGCCGGTGATGATCTAATCGATTCTGGCTGGAACTATATATACTTATGTATATGTAGGTTTGAACAAGAAGACTTGTCGTATACGAGGCACGTAAGCATTTCTCTTTTGGCCGTTACTCATTCTAGATTTTGGCAGTAAGAAAAAGAGAATAATATTAAATAGATAAAGAAACCGGTAGATAAGTATAGAAAAATACTATCAGTTCATATGGAATATATTCTATTTAATCCATAAATTAAAACACTAGTGATGATTAATCACCCAACTTAACGCCAGACTAATTACGGAAAAGAACATAAATTTTTAATTTACAGTTTTACATTCACCAGACGTCGTAGAGCGCTTGGTTGGCTTTCCTTTATGGCCAAGTCTGGAATGGTAATGTGGGCCGACGACTCCCTGACTGACTGATTCGATTGAATGAGTAGTCGAGTGCCAGTCCGCAGTGGGCAGTCCACAGCAAGCGGTACCTACATAAGCTCTTGGCCATGTCCAAATTGGGCATTGGACTTGAGAGGAGATGGAGGAAAAAGCATTGAAGCCACAGGTTCATGTCTGGCCACTCGAGCAAATTACATTTAGGCCAATAAATAGGAGAGAGAACCTTTCTTGGGAGTGGCTGCTGGGCAGAAAAATACCGCTTTGAAGTTGGAAATTATTTTAAACGAAAGTCTCAAGTCATAGTTTATAATACGTCTACTTTATAATCTTAATATTTAATACCAAAGTCTAAAATAGGCTCCATGACCAAGTGCATGATTATAGAGTGAGTAGTTCATGACTATTTTTATTAAATACGAAGCTCAGGTAGGGCTGACGCAATCTAAATTCAATGCGAATTAGTCACAACTAGAGGGAGTGATTTTTAATAGCCACAAACTGATAATGAAACGTATACTAGGTAAGTAATACAGCCATCTAATCTAAGGCATCAATAGAAAGTGCATGTTGGGAGCGTCGGTTGGACTGAAGCTCAAGTTGCATGCGAGAGACCCTCACCCTATTCCCCGCTTCTCTGGCGGCATATCAGGTTGCAATTTAAGGACGTAATAATACTATAGAATAAGTACAGAATAATATAAAAACATAAGGAATTTCTTAACTTAAATGGAAAAAGGATTATTCCTCTTGTAAACCATTTATTCCTCTAATATCTGCCTTTATAATTTCCCACAATAGTGAGCCTTCACTGTACCCCTGTATTTTGTGCTGGTTTTTGTTGGCCTGACTTAGCATGCGATCCGATTACGGTTACCACTCTTAACGCTCACCGCTTCAGTGCAAAACGTTTGGCTGGCTGGATGGCTGGCTGGCTGGCTGGCTGGCTCGGGGGGTAACTGAACTATATCAAGCGACGGCTAATTGCAATCCGACTGGACTTGCAGCCAACTGGAGAGTGGTAACGGAAGTGTGGAGTCGTTGAAAGGAGGCAGGGTGGGTAATTCAGGTGGCCCAGGGTGCAGTGAGAAATGCAAATTATTTGTTAGTCACCCTCTTTTAAAAAATCAATTTTAAAGCTTAGCTTAAAGGGAAATATGATGAAAGGCTATGCATTTTTTTTTAGTATTAAAGCTCAATTAAGGATATAAAATATATACATAATAGTACCCTCATATCCACAAAAGTTTAAAACAAAAAGATTTATGTATTATAATACATGTCATAGCTGGGCAAATAAAAGAAAAGACAATGCATGGCCCTCGAAAGGATATGCGGAATAATGTGGCATACTTTCGGGGGCACTGCTTGCCTAGCAAGTGCATATTATGCCAATCACAACAACAACAACAAGGAGAGCAGCGGAAGCACAAAGCTTGGCATACTTGTATGAAGGCTTAACACAAAAACCAAAAAAAATGAAAACCAAAAGGAGAGCAAAACCAAAACAATAATAACAAAAGGACACCCAGCTAAGGGGGTGGCTGGCTCGATGACATCATAACGCATATTGACAGACGACCATTGCTATGAGATTTGTACAGTTACAGTTGAATTTACAGTTAAAACGGTTAGCGTTTTTTTTTGGTCAAGCTGGGTTCGCGGCACAGTTTTAGAACAACTGAACTTACCTTGCGGGTGCAAACGTTCGGGCTTGAACCAGGCATCTGTAAATAGGCGATTGATATATTGATTTTCGTTAGTTAGCGGTTAGTCGAGGTGCAGAAAAAGACAATAAAAATAAAAGGAATAGTATTATATGGCGTGCACAGGCGGTGTTGTAAAAATTAAAAGCGCATACTAGGGCGTTGCAAAAGCAGTACAATAGACTCTTATTTGGTAAAGCAGTTCAAGCAACTCAAAGAAGGCAAATAGAAAGCATTATATTAAAAATAAAATTTAATTAAAAGGAGGAAATAATAGTAAAGGAAAGCAAGGACATAGAACCACATTCCACATATACACAAATTATACAATCCTTAATTTATAGACTACTCCCACACCCCACAGTTGTCAGAGGTTAGTTTTGTTGTTTTTTTCTTAGTTTATTTTCCAATTGGAAGAGGGGGGGTTTTCGGGGTGAGTTTTCGGTATTGGGGTAATTTCATTTTTAATGCGAGTGCCACTTACTAGGATCGAGGATGGAGCAAATCAGGGGGCGCTGTTTGCACACACCATTCTGACCGGTTTCGCCAATTGTAGCCATTACTTATGATTATTTTATTTTTTCTTCAAAAAAACACTATTTTCTCGTCACTGAAATTTGATATTATATGTATATTTTTTTTTTGGGGTTTTTCCCGTCTTGTTCGATTGTTTTCGTTAACAAAAGCACAACGCAGAAAGAGAGAAATGAGAATGGGAGAACGGTATTACGACGTTACGGTATTACGCTATTTTAGAATTTTTCACTTCCGTGTGGCAGCTCCACGACGCGTATAGAGACTGAAACGTATCAGGAAAAGCTTCATAGACCATGGGCCAGGCTGAGGAGTCGGATGCCCCCCCGCGCGAAAAAGGACAACCCTAAAGCCAGAGCGGCGGCGCCGAGAGAAGTGATGAGTCCAGAAAAAAAAGAGAGAAACTTATGCCCCCCACTGTGCCCACTTTGGACCAACAGATGGGCCTGACTGAAGCTTGAACCCCTAAAATATAATACAGTTTTGGGTAAAAATATAGTTCCTATTGGAAGTTCGATAAATATTATACATTTCATATATTATCCACATTATTTTCCTAAATTTTTTCCCTATACTTTCCTATTGAGACTTCACTGTAGCCCTACTGCAGAGCCAGAGGTGTCTCCAAATAAATGAGAGGCGGCCACCCGCAAGACTGGCACAGTTGAGCAACCCCGCTTAGCCCTGAACTTTGTCTCCTTCGCCGTCTACGAGAGTTGAGAAAAGCTCTGGTATGCCCAGCCTGGGGCCATCGATTTCACCTAATGCAGCTGACCTGTCGCTGGAGACTGGAGAGTGGAGACTAGCTTACGGCGCATGTGCATCGCCTCCTCCCCCCCTCAACACTGTATTTTGTTTTTATGTGCCACCCACTAAGTGGGCCGGAAATTACCAGACAAGTTTCGGGTGGGGCGGTGGTGCAACCAAGTTGCAGATGCTGTTGCTATTGCCACCACAGATATGTTAGTGTGTGTGTGTGTTAGCCTCCGCCTCCTTCTTCTGGGACCCCGCCCTTTGGTTGCGTGTGGTTTTCAAAAAAAAAATTGGTTAGGAAATCAATCAACTGGCACTCGGAAACGCATTTTCCATTTAGCCACCTTTGAAAGTATTGTTCTACTTTTAGTTGCCAAATATCTGCGCATTTTGGCCAAGTTATGGTATGTATGAGAAATGAGCTTGACGCATACCATATGGGCTGCCAAATCGGCAAAGTTTTTTGGTGGTCTTAGCCCAGTTCTTGGGCCAGATGAAATCGATATTGGCTGAGAGTGAGGATAAAATAATACTAAAATATTTACAAGACTTTCCAGGAACTTCTATGCTAATTAAGATATATTTTTTATTTAAATGTGGGATTATTTATAGAACTGTTGGCTAGTTTCCTCAATAAACTAAAGATTTTATTTGGGAAGTAATAAATAAACTATTTAAATACTAGAAATAAACAAAAAGTAAACTTGGCCTATATAGGGAACATGTTTATATTATTATTTTATAAGAAGGCTATTTTCTTTTTATAGATTTTCCAATTACTATCCACGTTAAGTAACCTTTCCAATAAAAATCAATTCATCAAGTTCATCCAATGCCATGTGTTTCGATTCCAAAAAAAGAAATTCCCCCCACACTCGAGACATTTCAGCAGCGTGGGAGATGATGGGAGATGCAATTAACCCACAAAAATATACAATTTAAACCACAAAGATAACACAAGAAAAAAATTGAGTAATAAACAATGTTTGTATGATTCTGGAATAATTAAATCACATACGCAAAATTATATTAAAAATAGAAATATAGTCAATGTGCCGATATTAAAGTTGCCAGCAAACTAAAGTCATGGGGGCTTCAGAGGGCGATAAAGCAGAGAAGATAAGCTGCAAAGATTGGATGCTAAGCTCCAGAAGAGCGGAAGAATCCAAAATGAAATCAATGGCAAATTGAAAGACAAAAGCGCAGCGAAAACAAAGGAAAAATAAGTAAAATATTGTATGTGTGTTCTTGTAATAAAAATAGCCGCATAATCGCACAAAAGGGATGCACCCAGACTATAGACCGCAGCCATGAAAAGCGTCGATGAAAATGGCTAATTGGAAAATGTTTTTCCGCAGACGGGGGTATGGAAATATAAACAAAACTTTCTAGAAACATGAAATCTTTTTTTTGAAAATCTAAACCCCACTTTGTTTACTACATTTCTTGTAGTGTAGAACGAGATTTCAAGAGCACTAGGGACCCTAGATTGGATAATCCAATGGCTCAAATAAGCCCACTGAGAGGGGCTGTCGAAAAGTAGTAGCGCCGCCAGCTGGTTACAAAATAGTAACAGAATGTAACAACGCAACAATAAATTATTATTGTTGAGCTGCCCAGACAGTCCCGCAAATTGCTTTAATAGCCATCCACAGCTCTAAAACGTAAACGAATTTAAAACAGAAAAAAAAAAGAATTATAATGAAATATGAACGGGGGTATACGTCAATGAACGTAGACACTACGGGTTGAGTCAAAGATTTTATAATGGGGAGGGGGAAAGAAAATGGGAGGCAGTGGAGCAGCTGATTCATGCCGGTGAAATATCTTGGAAATTGTGAAACTACGTTAGTAAGTTCCAGAAAAGCCTTATGACGGATATGAGATATAGATGTAGAGAGATGTCTCGGTATTTGAAGTTCATTTTCATTCTATCTCTCTTCAATGAACGTTCATTTTTTAACGGTGCATTTGTGTTCATTTTAGAACTTTCATATTAAGGAGCTATTTTATTTTAATATCGTATTATTTAATATTATTTTTAATAACTAACTTATGATCATTTTAAATTAAATAAAGTCTTTCTTTAAATTATTAATTTAAGAGCTATTATTCCTTTAAAATAACCACTATCTTCATACAGTTGTTTCACTGTATTTACTGACAACAACATAATCATATATATATTTCTGTTCACTTGCCCAGCCGGCATTCAAATGAGCGTGAATCACGCGCCCCATCCAATGACGATGACGATCGATTTGCAAAAAAAAAGGAAAAACTTTTGAAAAACTACAAGATTGCCGGGAAAGAGGCTGATGTTTGTTTAACAAACGTTTTACAACCATAAAGATAGAGACCCTAAGAGTCTTTCTAGAGATATCGGATTACTCTGGTGCGCGATACGAAATATATTTAATAAGAGAACCTCCAGAGCCGATGACATCATGGCAGAGTCAGAAAAAAAACCACTACTAACGCAAAAGAGAACGGCGAGTGACTAACCCACCAGAGGGGAGCGGGAACGACGACCTAGGGAAAAGGGGTCAGGATAGGTGGGATGCAAGGTGCGGTCGCAGGAGGACTCGAAAATAAACAGCAAACGATACTCTAATGACGACAGCACAACAAATTAATTAAAAAACTCAACGAAAGCACATTCTAAAAATTAAATTTCAATGTTGGTTACCACATACCTAGTCCGTATTTGTAGAAGATCTCCTCCACCGACACAATCTTTGGCTGCGGCTGCGACGAAGCGACTGGCACTGGGGGCGGAGCCACCTTCGGCTTGGGCGGTTCCTCCTTGGCTTTGGGCGGTTCCGGTTTCGGTTCGGCTTTGGGAGCCGTTTGGACACTTGGCTTAAAGTCCTCGTCATCATCCAGATCGGTTACCAAAGCGGCTGCTGAAACGGGAGCAGCCACTGGAACCGGTACGGGCTTCGGAGCAGGAGCAGCTGCCGGAACTGGAGCTGGCACTGTAACAGGTGCCACCGCTGGGGGAGTGGCTGTGCGCTCATCCTTGAAATCGCTGAGCAGGTCCTCCGATGAGATGAACTTCTCGTTGTCCTGCTCCTTCAGAGCATCCACAACGGGTTTCTTAGCCGGCGACGGAGTGTAAGATACGGACGGCGATTCGGTGTCAGAGTCCTTGTTGGCGGTAAACGGAGCAGCAGCGGAAACGGGAGCAGGGGCAGCCGGGGCAGGTGGCTTGCCCGAGAAATCGTCGTCATCGTCATCGTAGAAATTAGATGTGGGCTGGAAGGATTGGAGCGGTGCCGATGGCTTGTCACTGAAGCTGCCCAAAAGATCCTCTTCAACAGGAGCCGATGCTGGAGCTGTGGCTGGAGCAAAAGCTGCAGCTTTTTCTAGTGCCGGAGCAGAAGCTTCCACGGGAGCTGGAGCTGCAGCGGTTTCTGAAAACTGAGCTAGAGGAGCTGAGAACAGTCCCCTCTCGGCGTTCATGAAGTCAGTGGTTAGGCCGCCAATGCTCTGCTTTACATCCTTGCTGGCATCGCTCAGGAAATCGTCAAAGTCATCCGCCTTCTTGGCGAACTTGGCCTCCAGCAGCTCCTGGGCCTCCTTGGCGCCGGCAGACATGCGCTGGACAAACTCCTGTGGGTCACCAAAGTCCAGTTTCTTTTGCTCGTTGGCGAAGTAATGCTCTGTGTGGGCATTGTCGTCCTGGGCGCCGCCACTAACATTGCCAGCGTCTCCTGCCAATCCCAGGTCCTCGTAGGCCTTCTGGGCCCGGTTGAAAACATCCTCGCTGGCTGCCGCCGCCTCCTTCTTCAGTTCAGAGTAATTGATATCCATTTTCGTGGGGGCTCGGGGAAGATATTAACAATTTTCACAGATGCTGCTTGGGGTATCCTTGGTAAGGCTCTCGCACATACACACACGGACGCGACGGCTCTCTCTCACAGACGCACACAATTTCGATGTGCTAACCAGCTGATTCCGCCGGCTGGATGGGGCTCTTAAAATTTTAAAAAACGAACAGAGTGCGTTACGTGCTCGTTTCAAGTTGAATTTGGTTTAAAACTCAGCGTTTGTTTTGTCCGGCGCCGTCGGTTGGTTCGGTCACTCGTTTTGAATTGTTATAGAGACAGGGCTGCTAAAGCTAGGGCGGTCATGGGGGGGATTGGGAGGTTGTGGTGCTTGCACTGAGGGATCTTTTCTTCGGGCAAAACAATCAATCCGCGTCTGGTCTCACTTCTTAGTGGGGTAAAGTAGCCAACTTCTTTGGGGCACAATTCGTATATTCCCGCCCTTCCTCAGGACGAAGGATTCTTAACTTTTAAATATATTTTTTTTATTAAAATATACAAACTATTTCACTTTATATCAGATTTCAATTTGTGTACCATGTGAAAGGTACTTTGAGTAGAAAGGTGAAATGAAGAATGAAATACTTTTCAAAACTATGATGTTTTTTTTTTAACACAAAACTTATTTTACCTAAATATAGTACTTAAAGGCAATTTATAAACTCTATTCTTACAAAGTTCCTTTTAAAAATGACTCAGCTAATTGAGCAAAAAACTTAGTACCTCTAGAAAATATCTTAAATATCTTTTTTTGAAAAATCTTTTTAAAGAGACTATAAAAGTAAGAATAGTTTTAAAAAATGGTACTGAATATTAAAGTTAAATTAGTTAATACATAGGATCTAAAATTATTTTTAATTTTAAAAAAATGTTGCCAGATTGGTCATGAATTCATTATTCATTCACCCCGAAACGTGGACATGGTCAATTTTGGCGTTTACCAACACTAAAGCAAAGTGTGAACAACAATTCTGTTCGACATTTGAGAAAAAATTAAAATAAGCTACACAATGGAAACCCTGACTGGAAGAAATGTTGCCTTGCTGGTGCTATGCCTGTGTGCCGGATACGCTCTGGTGGTCGGCGAGGGCGACAAGGAGATACCAGCCACGAAATTAGGACAAAACATTGCGCCGACGATGACTTTTCTTTACTGGTGAGGATTATGCGGGGTAATTAGCATATCAAACATTGAACTCTGAACATACGTATTTTTCTCGCCCCTTAGCTACTCCTGCGGCTACCGCAAGGCCTTTGAGGACTACGTTAACATTTTGGTCGAGAAGTACCCACAGATCCAAGTGCAGGGAGCCCATTACGATCCTCCCGGCTTGAACTATTACCTATCCAAGATTATTTTTGCTTTGAAGATCACCATTATTGTTTCGGTGGTATCAGCAGTTAGTCCGTTCACATTCCTTGGTATCAACACACCCAGCTGGTGGAGCCACCTGCAGTCAAACAAGATTTACGCGTGCATGATGATTTTCTTTCTGGGCAACATGCTCGAGGGTCAGCTGATCTCATCGGGAGCGTTTGAGATAACACTGAATGACGTGCCAGTATGGTCGAAATTGCAGACGGGCCGGTTTCCGGCGCCCGAGGTCCTATTCCAGATCATCGACAATCATCTGCAGTTCACCGACAAGATTCAGGAGAATCCGGACTTTGTTAAATAATAGTGGACAAAGGAAGAGGCGGGAACAGAAGCCGGTCAACACCAAATAGCCATGCGGCTCTGAACCTCTGTAAAACTATAGGCTCTTGTCCCAATATACCCTAGTTAGCCGTATCTCTCTGTTTCACCCAAAAACCTTCTAGCCTACTGTACACCAAATGTAACTTTGTATTCCTGTGTTTCCGTTTAAAAGCTTAAGTGTACTGTATTTGTGTTTTTGTGTAGCCGCCAGTCGTGTGTATATCGAAAGCATATAGATAAGAACATAAAGGACACAACAACTCGCTACCGGGTCCTGGTCCCAGGGGTACATCTACCGTAGGAGAGCTGTTTACAATCAAACTATGTGCTGCCTCGGTGTAGATGTACCTCTTCCTTAGCCTTTACGAGATTTGTAATGTTACTTGTTAGTGGGAGGAGCAAACTGATTACATTCGGATATGTAAAACCTTTTTCACATTGTAATAAAAATAAATTCGCTCGTCAGATTTAAAACCAAAACTTAATGTGTTTGAAATTCAAAGAATCTTGCTGAGAAATGTGAGATGTTATCTGAAGATGACATTTTTTGGTGATAAGGCAATTCTTGATAAGATTGGCTAGTCATAGGTACTATTTCTATAGTAGAGACTATGCCTACCATTAAAACTGCATTTCTTTTATGTTGTGTACATTTTATTTATCAAAAAACTGGGTTTTGTTTTTGGTTTATGTTACATTAATTCCAACAGAGGCGCAAGACATTCTTCGTTCGTTGCTATGCAGGCAGTGGATACTCTTCTCGTCCTCTTATTATGAATTCCATTTAGTTTTTTGGCATGTGACACTTTGTGTTAGATTGCAACTCCACAGAAAATGGCACTTACTAGGTGGTTATGGTTGGTTTCGGTTTTGGTTTGATTTGTTTTTGGTTTGGATCGTTATCGTTATCGTGATAGGATAGCAATAGACTTAAGACAAAAATTTAACTGCTACTTAGTGGAAATCTATGGGGCGAGGGTGTCCTCGCGCGTGCGCCGACGGTATGTACGAGTGTCCCCTTGGCGGGCGTACTCGTTGTAGTTTTGGGGAGTTGGTCGCCTCTGGGCCTGGTTGTACCTTCCGCTGTAGTAGTTGCTGGGCGCCTGGGAGTACGGTTGCCGGTTGGCCTCGTAGGTGCGGTAGTTCGATCCAGCGGGGTTTCGTGGGTCAGAGCTCCAGCTGGAGCTTGTTGACCATGCGCCTGTATTGGATCCGGGGCTAGCATTAGAGCCGGGTCTATTGTTGGATGACCAGCTTGAACCGGATCCTGGGCTAGCATTGGATGACCAGCTTGAACCGGATCCTGGGCTAGGGTTGGATGACCAGCTTGAACCGGATCCAGGGCTAGGGTTGGATGACCAGCTTGAACTGGATCCAGGGCTAGGGTTGGATGACCAGCTAGAGCCAGCTCCTCCACTTCCACCAGCGTTGGATCTCGAAGACCAGCCAGAGCCAGAGCCAGTTCCGGATCCGGAATTGCCACCGGATCCTCCACCAGATGACCAACTTGAGCTAAAGCCAGGTCCTCCTTGGGAAGAACGTGATTCGCCGGCGGGCTCATAGCTCGATCCTGATGACCAAGACGAAGATGCCGTCTGGACCACACGGCGGGTTACAAAGGCGTCACCGCGACGACGGCAGACTGTGCACCTGTAAGTAAAATGATCTTAAAACATGTCCACTTTTCAGGATAACGGGGAAAAGACGCACCTGCTAATCTTGCTGGTCGGGTCGGCCTTCAGAGTCTGCTGGCGCGGCTTACTGAACTGATCCTGGTCCTCGATTACGGAGAGCCAGAAGGAAGCCAAAGCATCGTAGTAGTTGCACCGTCCATGGCCATGGCACTCAATCACCGGCTGAGCACGGAAGTCCTCCAAACAGGAGCCTGGAGAAACCAGGTCTTGACCGATTCCTCCAGTGTTATCCAAGGTGGTCTGAAAATGAGGTTGTTAAATACAATTTAAAAGGTAATTTCGGTTATGTCCTTACCATGTAGTAACTGTAACCAGTCCACATCTCCTCCCAGCCGCCAGGACATTCCGGAAGGCTCATGGATTGCGAGTGCAAGGCAATAACCCTCGTGGATGTCTCACAAACCGCGCAACTAAATTAATAAAAAATAACAATTTTAAATCTAAGATGGAGGGTTTCTGTCTTACCGGGAAATGTATTTCATGAGGTCCTTGGACTCGATGGGGGCCATGGTCATCGGCATGGGCTCGGCGGTGGACAGCCACAAGCTGTCGTCGTTGTTCTGGGCGTAGTTGCACACGTTGTTCAGATCGCACAGCATGTACGGCATGGTGGTGAACTTCATCATGCAAGAGCCAGACTGACCAAGATCCTGGCCCACGGCACGACTGGCGGCAACGTTGCCGGAGAGGGAGTAGCCCTCCCACAACAGATTCGTGTTGGCGGGACACTGGGGTACGTTCACGGATTGCGAGTGGCGGGTGAAGATGAAGCCGCGGCTCTTTGGCGGCGGTGGTGGGGGAGCCGGGTCTCCGGGGGCTCCGGGCCTACCGGTGAGACCAGTGCGTCCAGTCAGACCTATAGCACCCTGGTCACCGCGAGGTCCTTGCGGTCCATCGGCACCAGTATAGCCTACTTCACCTTGATCACCGATATAGCCCTTAAGGCCTCTATAGCCGATGTATCCTTCCAATCCAGGAGCTCCGGCCTCGCCACGCTGTCCCTTAAAGCCATCTAGTCCGGGTTCGCCTCGGTCGCCTTGGCGAGCAAAGGAGTAAGAGAACGTCTCACCCGGCTCACCCTTAACGCCCGCCAGTCCGTCCACGCCGTCTACGCCGCCCCAGCCGATCTCTCCTGTGGGACCTCTGGGTCCCTGGGGTCCTTGGCGGCCGTACTGGCCAGGCCGACCGGGGTAGCCTGGCTCGCCCTTAAGTCCGTCGGGTCCAGGAGCTCCCTGGTAACCAACGTCACCAGTGTCACCCTGCGGGCCCCATACGGCAAAGCCGGGCTCTCCCTTCTGACCCTGCAGACCTTGACTACCGCGCTCTCCCTGAGATCCAGCCACTCCATACGAGCCTGGACGTCCGGGTGCTCCTGGCGCTCCCACATCACCTTGGGGTCCAGGTGGACCTTCGATCTCGGGTCCTCGGTGTCCGATTGCACCGTTCTCTCCGTACTCTCCCTGTTCACCCGGAGCTCCTTTCTGGCCCGGGCGTCCTGGGCGACCGGGACGTCCATCGTATCCTGCATCACCATCCAAGCCCCGTTCGGCCGATTGCGTCAGGCCTGGTAGACCTCGGTATCCTCTGTCACCTTGCACGCCCTTAAGTCCTGGACTACCATCTAATCCTGGATATCCGGCAACACCAATATCTCCTCGTTCGCCCTTTGCGCCTTGCAGGCCGATGAATCCGACTAGGCCGACATCACCCTTCTCGCCTTGAGCGCCTTGGAATCCTCGATCTCCGGGGAAGCCGCGGTACAGATAACGATCACCCAGGTTCTCCACGCGTCCGGGATAGCCTATTTCTCCTTCGTCGCCAGGCTCGCCTTGGGGACCCTGGATGCCGGGAGGGCCTTGAGGTCCTTGGTTTCCGGGAAGTCCCGTCAGTCCATAGATTCCATCGTCACCCTTCTCTCCCTTAGGACCGGTTGGTCCATCGGGTCCGCGTTCACCCACAGCGCCTTTAAGACCGTGAGCACCGTTGCGTCCACGATATCCGGGCACTCCTATAGCTCCCGGAGCACCGCGGATGCCAGGTTGACCAGCGAAGCCCTGGTCACCACGTTGTCCCTTCAGACCGTACCGACCAGGAAGACCATCTTGTCCCGGACTTCCAGGCTCTCCCTTGCGACCGATGGCACCTGCCAGGGGCTCGGGTGAATCACCAGGTTGTCCACGAAGACCCTTGGCTCCCGGAGCTCCTCTGTAGCCTTGTTGTCCAGGATAGCCTGGCTCACCGGCATCTCCCTTGATGCCGCTGTAAGCGGCAGCGCCCTTGATTCCAGGATAACCGGGTACACCTTGATCTCCACGCTCTCCCTTAATACCAGAGCGGCCAGGGGCTCCGGCATAGCCAAACGGTCCAACGTCACCAGTGAGACCTGTATTGAAAGGCATTAAGTTTTTGGGATTTGGAATTGTTGTATAAAGATGCAAGCTCACCTTTCGGACCCATTTCACCGACAGCTCCACGTGGTCCAATGTCACCTGGTCGACCGTCTGCTCCGATGTCGCCACGATCACCGTTCTCGCCGATCATTCCCGGCAATCCTCCAATACCGGGACTGCCGGGGAAGCCGGCAACTCCTGGGTTGCCTAGAGCTCCACGTAAGCCGGTCAAACCGATGCTGCCCTTTAGGCCATTCGCGCCGAAAGGACCTTGCCAGCCGACCTCTCCCTTCTGGCCCTTAGTGCCGTGAAGAGCGACGCTTCCGCTTCGACCAGGCTGACCCGCAGCTCCGGGCGGGCCGACCAAGTAGTCACCTTGTTGACCCTTATTGCCGGGAAGACCGGTCTGCCCGGTAGCGCCGTCAGGTCCCAACTCACCCTTCTGTCCCTTCTGGCCGCGAATGCCTGGAGGTCCGTACTGGCCAGCAACACCGACGTCTCCGGGATAGCCCTTCACACCCGGTCGACCGGATACACCTATCTCTCCGGGAATAACAGACTGTCCAGGCTCACCACGCTGGCCCTTGTAGCCAGGATTGCCGTTCGTGCCATCTTCACCATCCAAGCCGGGCTCTCCGGGAGCACCCTGCAGTCCATAGTCACCTTGGATTCCCGGATAGCCCTTGGATCCTATGGGTCCTTGGATCGTGGCACCCACCGGTCCTTGATCACCTAACTCGCCGTTGATTCCGATATCGCCTTCATCACCTTTTTGGCCTCGAATGCCGGGCAGGCCCGGGTATCCAAATTCACCACGATCACCCCTGTTGTCGTAAATCTCTCCGGGATGTGGCTCACCCTTGTCGCCCTTCAAGCCGCGTTCTCCATCGTCACCACGATCGCCGCGGCGTCCGTTGTAACCCGGTTCACCGACCAAATAAAGTTTAGGGATGGAGGGTGTGACACCGGGCTTACCATCGATTCCATTACGTCCGGGACGTCCATCAACTCCTTGCCTTCCAGTATCGCCGTAATCGCCACGCAGACCAGGTTCACCACGAGGACCTTGGCTGCCGTGGAAGCCGTTCAATCCCTGGTCACCATCCAATCCCTGCAATCCACGGGGACCGTCATCACCGTCATCACCTTGTGGGCCTTCCGCCAGAGTACCTATCCTTAATAGTGATCCTTTAGCACCTTTAGCTCCGGTCGCTCCAGGCTCACCGGGGATACCGGGGAGTCCACGAATACCTTTGAAACCGGTCTTACCGGGCCTGCCCTGCACTCCCTTCGGGCCACGTGCACCGGTGATACCGATCAAGCCGCGGTTGCCATGAATTCCTGGATAACCGGTGTCACCCTCCTGACCACGAGTACCCCGAGGTCCGGCATTACAGATGCCACAGTCGTCGCCTCGCAGACCCTTGTCACCGGGATAGCCGCGATATCCAGGCAAACCATCATCACCGGGACGGCCACGCAATCCTGGCGGACCCTGTGAACCGCGGGGACCCGTAATGTTGTAACCTTCGCCAGGCAGACCCTTGTCGCCGGGCAAGCCGACTTCTCCACGCTCGCCACGGTATCCATACTGTCCAGGCTGACCATCCAAACCGGGCTGTCCCTTTAGTCCGATCAGGTTGTAGCCAGAATCGCCACGCAGGCCGGTGCGACCGGGAGGTCCCGCCTCGCCAGGTGGGCCCTGAGGTCCGGGGGGACCCATGAAACCATAGTCACCAGCCTCTCCACGTTCGCTGCGTCCGGGAGGGCCGCGATTTCCGCTCAATCCCTCGTCTCCGGGCTGGCCAGCGGGTCCTTGGGGTCCGCGGCGTCCCTGCTTACCGGGCACTCCGTTCAATCCGCGTGGTCCCTCCGGTCCCAGATCACCCTGAGGGCCAATGGGGCCGGGTAGCGACTGGCTAAGAGTAGGGTCATAGATACCGGGTGGTCCTTGGGGTCCCTGGATGCCTGGCGTACCGTCGAAGCCGTCCTCACCCCTTTCACCGGGTCTGCCATCGGCTCCATTCAGTCCGTCGTAACCGGGGGCACCTTTACCGCCCTTAGGTCCGGGGTTACCAGACTCTCCATCCTTGCCGGGCTTGCCACGCTCTCCGGGCTCTCCATTATCACCTCGAATTCCGGGCAGTCCATTTCGTCCGGAGGGTCCGCGTTCTCCCTCCGGTCCTACAGGTCCATCCAAGCCACGCTTGCCCACGTATCCCTTGTAGCCCTTTTGGGACAAGTCTGTAGTCAATGCACCGGGCTCGCCCTCGCCGGGCTCACCCTTCTCGCCAGGTGTGCCCTGGTAGCTGTAGTTCGTCTCCAATGGCTCGCCAGTGTCGCCCTTGACGCCCTGGAAGCCGCGGTCTCCCTTCTCACCCTCCATGCCCGCGAAGCCGGTGTCACCTTTCTGGCCGCGATCGCCCTCGAATCCGGGCGGGCCTTGGGAGCCGTCGATACCGCGCTCGCCTCGGGTACCCTTGGTGCCCTTGGAATTGATGCCGCCCTCTCCGGCGTCACCAGGTGCTCCCGCGACACCAGGAGCTCCCATCTGACCCGGCTTTCCATTTTCGCCTGGTCTTCCGGGTTCACCCATTGATCCTGGACGTCCGTCGCAGCCGTCAATACCACGAGGTCCTGCAGGGCCATCCTCTCCGGGGATACCCTTCATAAATTATTTTTTTATTAGATGTTATAATTAAGTTAGTTTAAATATTAACTTACTCTATTGCCAGGAATACCGGGCTGTCCTTGTGGTCCACTCTCACCCTAAAATCATGTAATTAATAAGATGTTTTCCAATATATCCTCAAGAGCCACTTACACGATGTCCTTTTTCGCCTACTCCGCCGTATTCGCCAACGTCACCCTTCTCGCCAAGACGGCCGGGTGGTCCGTATGGTCCATTGTCTCCGTGGGCTCCCTCCAGTCCGATGACTCCAAAGGGTCCGATTGCGCCCTGTTTTCCTTTGATGCCTTTGCAGTCACATACCGTTGTGTTACATTCCTGGAATGGAGATCCCAAAGTGGTGTCAGTTGGACTTTTTTTTTCAAAATAAAACCTTAATTTATTGGGTATATCAGAAGGGGTACTCTCTTGATTGCCCCTGATTGGGACTCTTGTTTAGAGAATCAAAGTTGTCAGAATCAATTCGTTCTAGTTTCATTATTCTATCTATTTCCTAGGGACTTCTTAGATATGAGTTCTACCAGGAGTACCTATTAATACCCCTTTAAAATGACCTTCGACTCATAATAACTCATAATGCTCTGTGATTTCGTGAAATTCCTTCTCAAAACAAAAATCGGGGCCCGGGTTTAACCAGAAAATCAACAACAATAAAAATTGCAGTATTTCGCAGCTGCAGTTTCCCTGCTTTAATTGCACTGTTTCCGTTTGCAATGAGATAATCTTCTATAGTTTGCTTAGTCAATTGAGCGAGTGCATAGAACACGCTCAGTGGACCTCGCCCTGAAGTTGGCCCGAAGACTGATGGGGTCTGGGGCCCCCTGTCGGCGGTGTTGGCTTCACATTCAACGCATTTTTAACCCAATTAATGTGCAGCCATAAACAAAAATGCTAGCCATTATCTGGAATATTTCAAATTATGAACTCACTTCAAGATTCACTTTTTTGAGGTAGGTTGAAGTTGAACACCTTTTTGGCCATTTCGTAATATATTTATTTAATTTTTTCATGCCAGAATTCGTGGCTTATTGCGGCTTCCTCATTGATGTCAGAGCATAAACATCCTTAATTTGTTTTGTATATTAATAGAATTGACATAATTTCATGTTGGTTAAAAGTCGGAAAATTATGGCCTGCCTTCATTAAATGCTTTATATTCTGAATGTTTCTCCAAAAATAAAAAAACAATTTAAAGAATGAAAAAAAAAACTGCACACATGTTGCACGTATGTGTTGAGATTTTAGATTTTTTGTTGTATATTTTCTAAATACGTTTTTTGCATTTGAAAAATATATGTTTAATTGTTTGTTGGATGAAACAAATTAGTGTCAAATGTTTGGCCAATTTTCTGATTTACAAATAGCGAAAAATCTGTTTATGTGACTCAATGAGATTCCGGCAGCGACATCGCCCGGAGTTCAAAGCCCCAAAAAGCTGTGAAAAAAGGGGAAGAGACATCCTCCGCGAATGGATTCCCAGAAGTAAACTTTTGACTTGCAGGAGATCAAACCATCTGTTAACTAAATATTCACATCACCAAATCCAAAATCCCGAAACGAGAACGTGAAAAGTAAACAATACAAAAAAGCAAATGCTGAAAAACTAGAAAATTAAAAAAAAAAAAAGCTGAATAGAAGACTATGCGGTGAACCAAAAGATGCTATGATGTTTGTACCATCGAACTGAAGAATCAAGAAACTGCAGATACGAAAATAAAATCCAACGACCCCACCTCACATTGGGGGCGATGCAGGTGCAGAGAAACAATTGCACTCGATTGCTGGAAATACCAACTGTGCGAGAAACTGTGAGAAATATTGAAATGCTTTTATTAGCCAGCCAGAAGATTTGAAAAATATATGTACATACTTCCCGAGAAAGTAAGGCACATCGATCAAGTCTTTTGTTTCACACACAACACATTCCTTCAATTGAAATTGGCTTGGAAACCAAAAAAAATTAAAACACCATCGAATTTCATTCAATCAATTGCAAAATACAGAAACATAAGTAATCCTCAAGCTCGTATGACATGAAAATAAATTCAGAAAACATATATATTTTGTGAAGTGAAGTGAAGATTGTTGCGGTAACACGTTGAAAAGTGACAGCACTGCAATTTCCTTGAACTTGACACTGGGCAAGGCAATACTTGTGAATGCATATGTAAATATATGCTCTATATATATGTATACCCAGGCTCCATATATGGGCCACCGCCACTTCCATACATATTTATATTTTTTTTGTATTTTTTGGATGGCACCACCGCCAGACAACGCACTGCTGAGTGGCGTCGTTGAGGCAAGAGCCACTCAAAAAATGGGGGAAAGGGTTGGCTCTACTGTTTGATTGCCGCCAAAAAAAAAAAAAAATTGAAAAAAAACTCAACTGCACTGTGCTTATTTCACATATGCACCCGATTCCGTTGATGTCAGCAAAGGAGCCACTGACTCTGGGAATATTTCCAAAAAAATTATATTATTCAAATTCCTGAATGGGCACGCGTTTTTGGTGAAATTACTTGAACAGGTTTAAGGTGTCTTTTATTTATTCACACAAAATGGGGAAAATATTTAATATTATGAGGTTTTTTCTTAGTTATAAAATATTTGGGGATCTAGCTAGGAGATAGAAAGCTATTTAAAATAGAGGATTTAGACATATTTAACCATCATCCTAAGATTCTTTGTCTATTCCCTTAATTTATTCTATATTTTTTTAAATTTTACTAACCTCAGGGTCTTATAATTAATTTATAACCTAGTAAAATGAGCTCTATATGTTTTTTTTTTTTAATTTTTCAAATTATAAATGTCTTAGAAGCCACATCTAAGTTTCACCTTCTAAGTATGCAATAGTTTTTTTTCCCAAAAATGAAACTCAAAGATTTGTGAATAAAGTAAATATAAATTAAAATAAAATCTTTTTTAAGAAAAAAATTATATTAAAACTATAATAAATTTGTTTAATTTTAAGTAAAAAATGTCATCCACCTAAATTAAAGACCTTAACCTTTTTTTCAAAAATAATTCCCAAAACCTAAAACTACAAACTCTGTTTAACCCAATTTACTAAAAATATATATATTTCAGAGCCTCAAAGAACCTGATATTTGTTAGCCAATATAGAACACCTGTTGCACCACTGTGTCTCGAAATTCTACCCATTGTCTGACCCAGTCCATACATATACACGGATATATGCACACTCTCGCGGAGGTAACTGGGAGGCGGTGAGTGTGTCAGTGGCGCGCACTTAAGCGCATTTGCAAATGTTAACGCCAATTGTCCCAGTTGCCGGTATTCCGCCCCACTACCCCAACCCATCTGAGGCAAATGCATAGTTTAAGGTCAAAGCTAGGCCTCCGCTAGAGATCCCCGGCCAGATGATATATACATATATCTGGCATATATCTATCTATCTGGCGCGACAATTGGGCACACCCACCCACGCTAATCGCCGGACTAGCGAAAATGCATATGAATGGCGGGACAGACAACGAGAGATGATGTTTCTCGGATCCACAATGCAAGTCCATTGGCCCCAGTCTGGGGTCCTGGTCTTGGGTATCCGATGACATTAGCCGGGGGTGCTAAGGCTATGTCTTTCCTTCGAAGTGCAAGCGATACCTTCTGGAGTTCTTGAGTTATTCAGGGAATGCAGAGCACAGCGAAACGTCTCTCGAAAGGGACGGGTTATTATCTAAAGAAAGAGTAGGCAAGATCGTCTGGTAATCTGGTGGTGGCCTGCCCTGCCCTGCCCTGCCCTGCCCGGATGTGGAATACAAAAATATTATAATTATAAGAATGTCATCATTAATATGCTGATAAGCCAGGACAGATTTTTTCAAGTCGAGCGCGAAAAGCATTATTTTAATTTGGCATTAAATTGTATACGATGTATACTATATAGAATATATGAATTATAAAAATAATCTTTCCATATTCCTTCATTGATGGACAAAGGGGTTATCTGTTGCAGACAAACCCACCATCAATTGTGGTCTTTGTTGCCAAGTCGGACAAGAATCCAAGGCTCGGAAACAGATACAGATACTAATTGTTAGTTTAAAAAATAGAGGATCCTTCGGTGCGTCAGAATTGACCCAATTCGCCAAGTCGAACAACACGCGCCATCAATCAAGACCATTTTCCCCATGGCTGGGGATTGGAGTGGGGGACTTGCAGCAGTGGCATCTCGGCAGCAATAACAAAAACAAATCAGTTGTAAAATATGCCTCATAAACGTTTTGAAAACGGCATGCAACAATGAAAGCACGAATGTAAAATTATGTAGTAGACCTGGTTATGCTGACTGTGAGTTTTCCCAAAAAAATATATGATCTGTGGCTAAGAAAACTTTCAAATATTATTATTATTAGTAAATATATTATTAGTAAATATAATTAACTACAACTAAATAATTCAGGTGGTTAAATAACCTCTTAAAGAACCATTTATTTTAGAAACATTCATATGTTTTATTAAAAATATTTCCATATGCATTCCATTTCCATTTCGAATTCAAAACCCATTTCCAAAAAATTACCTTTAAGGAATGTATGGTTATAGCCTTTAGGTCGCAATCGACTTCAAAAAACTTTTAGTAGCTCACTTCCCATAAAAGTATTTCATTGAGCATGTAACCCAATTGCAGCTTGCAACATTCCAGGCCACAGAGATGACTCATGCGATCAGTCCAACAGCCCCCCATTGTGGGGCATTAGTACAGGGTAGCAGTATAAAAATTAAATATGGGGCAACATATGAGCAACGTGTGATTGACATGAAAAGAGTCAGACCCCCCTATCTCACCGCTCACCACCCCGCCGAGAGCATAATGAATGCACATCTGGACGGGCGCACTTGCAGCATGACATCATTTTTTTTTGCATTCGCTTGACATCGTATGGAAAAAGATACAGAACTTGGGAGTACACATATGGAATATGGAATATGGAATATGTGGGGAACCCACCCACGCACTCCTCCAAGGAGGTCCACAAATGAGCAAAACAATCGCAGTTGGGCCATTTAAGTACTAGGTTACGGCATCATTGCACATAATTGTTTGGACACAAGCCTGACAGATGATAATTAATTGCCGGCCACTCGAATTAACATTGAAATTGATGGACATGGAGCTGTCAAAACGATCGCCTACAAATTGGCGATAAGGAAGCGCCGCCTGATTAATATGACCTGAACATTGCACCTTTTTTCTAACAAATAATATATAAAGTAAACTACATTTAAAATAGATGGTTTCATCAGCATTTTTAGATTAATTGTTTGTAAAATGAAGGGGTTATACC